CAATGAATTGGCTAGAACGTCAAAATGATCTTGATCCAGTTCAGTTGATTTATTTAAAAAGAATAAGGGATATATGGCTGCTAAATAAACGCGTCTTCTTTGAAACGATATCTTTGCTGGATTTCTTTTGCAATGGAAAATAATGAAAAAAGTGGTAAAATCCGTAATTGACAAAAAAAGTATTAAGAAACTGAAATATGATAAAAATAATTCTAAATAAAAAAAAGTAATAAAATGTTTTTATTAGAAATATTTAAAAATTGAAAAAAAAAAAAAAACTTAAACCTGCCAGAGCTATTTTAGACAGTACTGCCAGTCCTAAGCCTACAAAAGGTGCGAAGGGAAGTTAATGCAAAAATAATAATCATTTAAACTAGATTTTAAGCAACTTTCCAATTATCCGAACTTTTCATTATCTGAACCATGTTCGGTCCCGAGCAGTTCGGATAATCGGCGCTCTACTGTATTATATCACCATATTTTATGCAACATTAAGTTGGTTCCAACCTTATAAGATATTTTACTTTTTATAAGTTTTATTATGCCTGCAATTAGCAATAATAATTGTAAATATAGATTTCTTGATGTTCACGAAAAATTATTTAGAACTACTTTTTATTTAACCTCTGTTAAACAATATATAATTCCAATTTTTTTAATACTTGATTGACTGTTCTATATAAATTTCCTTATCTGTGTTAACTATATTTTCAATTTAGTTGTAAAAAAAAAAAAAAAAACAACTTTCAAAAATTTGCAATTGACAACAGCTGCTGCGAGTTCTGTATTTTAAACATTCAAATCTTTATAAATTTTTAATGAATTCACTAAAATTTATAACATTTTTCTTTAATAATTGATTTTAATTTTTACTTTTGAAAAAGTTTATTTTTAAAAATTATATTTTTATCATGTTGATTACAGATGTGCGACATATTTGCATTCATGTAACTAACTTCAAAATTCGTTCCAAAAATAATCTTTAAATTGATAAGAATTGAAAGAATTAGTTCAAAAATTTTAGTATCCATAATAAATAGGGAAGCTACATCTAATATTTTTTTTATTGTAATAAATAAACATTTGTAAAAAAAAATCATAAGAACAGTAATTAATATAAATATAATAAAATAATTTATTTAATGCAGTGTAACAATGACAGGAAGTATTTTCCCTGAGAAATATTTTAAGTAACTTCCTGATTAAATACATGCTATTAACATTAAAATTATACAACCGTACCTTCATCAGTGCTGTTGTGAATTGGAGTTGTTAACGTTCGCAACCACTCGTCACACTCATCTGGTGTTTCAGTTGTTTCTATAAAATAAAAAAAATAAATAAAAAACTATATTGATACCAGACATGCTTGTTTATTTCAATCTGTTAATTTATATCAAGTTTTTATTTGGTTAGATGCCACAGTAAAAATTATTCAAAAATTTATGCATTTGTAACACTTTGAATAATTTTATATATTAATACCGAACATACTGGGTTATTTTAATTAATTATTTGTATCAAATTATGATTTGAAATTTGAATGGATAACACAAAATAAATATACAAAATGCTATGCATTTTTAGACGTTTTAAAGATTTTTCCAAATTAGTTAAGGAAACACTTGTTGATTTCAATATTTTTATCCACTTCTGATTAAAATGTATGCCTCTAAAAAAATAAACCAAAATTAATGCATGTTTTTGCATTCAAAAAATTTTCTGTATTAATAATGAAAACACTAATATAGAAATGGTTCAAACGATGCACCATAAAAAGAAAAATGATACAAAAGTAAATAAAAATTAATGCATGTTTAAACATTTTTTAAAAATTCTCTACATTAATGCGGAAAGTATTCGTCCATATAAATTAGTTATTTATATTATAGTTTTAAGGCCATACCGTTTTAACGTTTAACTTCAAAAATAACTATTTTGATTGTTTATATTTCCAGAATCTTAAATTTTAATCATTCTTCATTCCGCAACGCAACCCCATTATCTAAAAGTGGCAATTCTGTTATTAATTTTAATGGTACACGAATTATGCTAATATTTATGGTAAATGAAGTCTTAAAAAACCTATAGATTATGTATTGCAATGACGCGTTAGGATGTTTTAGAGGACAGCACTTCTATTTAAAATATTAAGCATTAAAGGGACTTACTCGGTGGCCGGTATCTATCGCCACAGTTTACTTTGTCTTCCTCGAAGCAAATTCTCATGACGTTGTCAAAAAGTGTACCGCTGGGGCATTCATTCTCTTGGAATTCACCGTCTTTGCAAGTGTAATACAATCTGCAATCTTTGGGATGGTGGAAGTCCCCATCTTCTTCTTTACACTCATCTTTAATTGGCTTTTCTGTTGTTGTACTTACTCCAGTAATTGTTGAAACTTTAAGAAAAAAAGTTAAAATGTGTTTCGTCTGTCGAAACTAGAATAATCTTGCACATTGCGCAAAAAAGAAAAGAAAAGAATTTTAATAGGATAACAATGTATCACTATGAATAACTTTTTTTCTAATCATTGAATTTTCCCGAGTGCCTATCTTAATGCTTTAAAATGGTGACTTCAAATATGGATATTTTTTTGGCCAACCAATATTTTAAGTCATCAGTTCATTAAAGGTGTTCCGTGTAGCCTTTGCTCTATGTTCCCTATACGCCTGTGTGTTTCCTATGTATATCTAGGGAGGTCCTAAATTATCCTTTTAAGGGGTGCAATGGGTCCTGATTTCATTTTTATAAACGACACCACACAGAGCACTTCTTGTCGACCATTTTCTGGTTATTGAAGATATTCGCTGGATGTATTGGCCAACCAGATCTCCAGACCTCAGCCTTATAGAGCATGCCTGGGAAGCCTTAAGGAGGGCAATTGCAGCACGTAACCTCGCTCCGAAAACCGCCCAGTATCTGAAAACAGCGTTATTGAACGAGCAGGACAAACTGCCGCAGGAATTCATTAACTCTCTTATTTCTATTATGAAATCACGATGTGAGACCTGTATATCCATACGAAGGGCCATACCTCCAATTAAGCTTTTTTTTAAAAATTCAATTCTGTAACCATTCATTGAAACCATTCAACACTGGTGAAGTTAAAATTGTACTAGTTCAATTAGCGTGCGAAAAATCAATCTTAATGGTTTCTGGGGTCAATTCAAATATGCTAATTAATTAGTAAAAGTCCTTAAGATAATAAATTTTAAGCCTAGTGTCCTTTTAAATAACGGTTTTTTCTTCACAAAAAAAAGTTGAACACAAGTGTTTTATAATTGAGGTTATTTTGCAGAAACAATATAATTTAGTTTTGCATACCAATATACATTAATATAATTTAGATTTTGATCTGAAATCAAGGCAGAGTGTTTTTTTGAAGCTGAAGTGCAAGAAAACAGAAAAAAACAGCATAAAAAATTTGTGCAACATACCACACTTTTTTTTATAAGTGTCTTTCATATATTGACAACTTTTGATAATTGAGCTACAACTTTATAAATAACTCAAACTTCGTTTTTTAAATTCGTTGAAAGAACCCTGAGTGCAAAAGGTTAACGTTGAACAATTAAATTCGCAGATTTTAAGCAGTATCTTGTCTAGTTCTGAATTTGTTTTTGATGTAAGCATAAGTTAGAAGTGGATAAAGTGAACAAAAAGTCTTTCAATTGTTAAGCATGGTTATCAGAGTAACTTAATTCTTTTCTTGAATTTGGCAGGTATTTAGAAGTACATAAAATCTTTCTTTTTCCTAACTCTGCCTCTCACATGGTGTGAGATGTGGGGAACTGCAGAGATGCATAATATAATCCTGTGGGCCTTATTCAGCGATGTAACAGTTAAGATAGACGCTGACAATTGCACTCTAGTAAAGTTGAATTCAGAAAGAAGTGTACTATCTTGCAGAAATTTAGGATTTTATCAATTACAATTACATTGCTTAAATTTATGCAAAAAAACTTGAATATTTTTTGGTTCTAAATAATTTCGATTATTATAAAAGAGAAAAAAATTAGAGGTTTTTTGCGGAATTAATAAATTCTATATTAGCAAGTCTAAATTATTGCGAATAACCTCAAATTTTGAAAGTCAAAAATACGAAACTGTTTAAGAAGGGAAAGTTTTCCCAGAGAAAGAACGTTATTATGTTTGACTTCATAATTTAAAATATCCATATCGCATATCTCCTACACTATTTAAATAGCATATTTAAAGCCAATCCCACCAACCATTAAGATTGTCTAATGAATAACCAATCCCACATATTAGGATTACATCTTATGCTAAAATCTGATTATTAGATAAAAAGTTATTAAGAAAAGTTGTTCTTTCTTTTTATCACCATCGTAATCGATTAGTATATTTTATGACCAAGTTACAAAAAATGTCAGTTATGAGTTGCAACACAATGGCATTAAACACACTATTAAACACATTATTAATGGCACTATTAAAAATTCGAAACTAATTTTCCGCATGTTACGTTATTTTAACTAAAGTTATCAATGTAACTTAAAATCTCCTGGTTAAAAGCCTGTTAATCTTAAATAATAAATTACTAAAATAAAATACTACTTACATACTGGCCTTTTTCTAGAATCACAATCTACCCAGTCTTCTCGATAACATTTTTTGACCATTCGATCGAAAACAGTGCCTTCAGGACACTTCATGAGGCTTGCCACACCATCTTTGCACTGAGTATAAAGTTCACAATCTTCCTCATGCGGGTAACTCTCATCCTCGTCATTGCATTCTATTGGGGTGACGACGGTGAAAGGTGAAACAGATGACTTTTCAGAATTTTTGTCAGTTGAAGCTGTATACTTTGGAGTTGAAATTTTTCCTTCCCTGTCATCAGTGGCTCCTGTCCCTTTTCTCCCGTCATCAGTAATGCCTGTTCCTTTCTTTCCGTCATCAGTGGCTCCTGTTCCTTCCCTCCCGTCATCAGTAACACCTGTTCCCTTTCTTCCGCCATCAGTGGCTCCTGTTCCTTCCCTTCCGTCATCAGTGACTCTTGTTCCTTCCCTTCCGTCATCAGTAACACCCGTTCCCTTTCTTCCGTCGTCGGTGGCTCCTGTTCCTTCCCTTCCGCCATCTGTAACGCCTGTTCCAGTGTCATCAGTGACTCCTGTTCCTTTCCTTCCGTCATCAGTGACTCCTGTTCCTTTCCTTTCGTCATCAGTAAAACCGGTTCCCTTTCTTCCGTCGTCGGTGGCTCCTGTTCCTTCCCTTCCGTCATCTGTAACACCTGTTCCTTTCCTTCCGCCATCAGTGACTCCTGTCTCTTCCCTTCCGTCATCAGTACCACCTGTTCCCTTTCTTCCGTCATCAGTTACACCTGTTCCCTTTCCGTCATCAGTGGCTCCTGTTCCTTCCCTTCCACCATCAGTAACACCTGTTCCTTCCCTTCCGTCATCAGTAACACCCGTTCCCTTTCTTCCGTCATCGGTGGCTCCTGTTCCTTTCCTTCCGTCATCAGTGACTCCTGTTCCTTCCTCTCCGTCATCAGTTACACCTGTTCCCTTTCTTCCGTCATCAGTTACGCCTGTTCCCTTTCTTCCGTCATCAGTGACTCCTGTCCCTTCCCTTCCGTCATCAGTAACGCCTGTTCCCTTTCTTCCGTCATCGGTGGCTCCTGTTCCTTCCCTTCCGTCATCTGTCGCTCCTGTTCCTTCCCTTCCGTCATCAGTAACGCCTGTTCCTTTCTTTCCGTCATCAGTGGCGCCTGTTCCTTCCCTTCCGTCATCAGTAACACCTGTTCCCTTTCTTCCGTCATCAGTGACTCTTGTTCCTTCCCTTCCGTCATCAGTACCACCTGTTCCCTTTCTCCCGTCATCAGTGACTCCTGTTCCTTCCCTTCCGTCATCAGTACCTCCTGTTCCCTTTCTTCCGTCATCAGTGGCTCCTGTTCCTTCCCTTCCGTCATCAGTAACACCTGTTCCTTTTCTTCCGTCATCAGTGACACTTGTTCCTTTCCTTCCGTCATCAGTACCACCTGTTCCCTTTCTTCCGTCATCAGTGACTCCTGTTCCTTCCCTTCCGTCATCAGTGGCTCCTGTTCCTTCCTTTCCGTCATCAGTAACGCCTGTTCCTTTCCTTCCGTCATCAGTGGCTCCTGTTCCTTCCCTTCCGTCATCAGTAACACCTGTTCCCTTTCTCCCGTCATCAGTGACTCTTGTTCCTTCCCTTCCGTCATCAGTACCTCCTGTTCCCTTTCTTCCGTCATCAGTGGCTCCTGTTCCTTTCCTTCCGTCATCAGTGGCTCCTGTTCCTTCCCTTCCGTCATCAGTAACACCTGTTCCCTTTCTTCCGTCATCAGTGACTCTTGTTCCTTCCCTTCCGTCATCAGTACCACCTGTTCCCTTTCTTCCGTCATCAGTGACTCCTGTTCCTTCCCTTCCGTCATCAGTACCTCCTGTTCCTTTCCTTCCATCATCAGTGGCTCCTGTTCCTTCCCTTCCGTCATCAGTAACGCTTGTTCCTTTCCTTCCGTCATCAGTGGCTCCTGTTCCTTCCCTTCCGTCATCAGTAACACCTGTTCCCTTTCTTCCGTCATCAGTGACTCTTGTTCCTTCCCTTCCGTCATCAGTACCACCTGTTCCCTTTCTCCCGTCATCAGTGACTCCTGTTCCTTCCCTTCCGTCATCAGTACCTCCTGTTCCCTTTCTTCCGTCATCAGTGGCCCCTGTTCCTTTCCTTCCGTCATCAGTAACGCCTGTTCCTTTCCTTCCGTCATCAGTGGCTCCTGTTCCTTCCCTTCCGTCATCAGTAACACCCGTTCCTTTGTTTTCATCATGAGTAGATCTCGTAGAATCGTTTTCATCGTCGGATGTAACTGTTCCAGTTGGTTCTTTCGTTGCTAAAATAAAAATATTATTTGTTTTAACTCTTGTCATTAATAATTTATAATTTTAATTGAATGTTTGCTTTGGGGGGAAATTTCCTGGGTGTAGGTAGGAAAGGAGATAAAGAATGATTTACTACATGGAAGTAATGTACAGTGAGCAAAAAAGAAAAAAAAACCGGAACACCTTCAATTTCTTTTTGATTTCGATGTATATCAAAGAGAAAATATGAAAGATTTTTAGGCGAAATGTCCTATTAAATCCCAACAAAAACTTAAATATTCATTATAATTCATAATAATTTTACAAGCAAAAGAAGGAATAATTTTCTAATAAGGAAAGAGGGGCTGACCACAAATATGTTAGTTAGTTAGTGTAGACGATAATTTTCATTACGAATTCAGATGCAAAAAACACTCTCCATCATTGAACATGCCTTTTCTTTCGCTTGGATTATGATTCCTTACCTCGAAAATTAAAGGGGAGACGCAATTCGGGAAATATGGCCTCAATTGTTTGGTCAGGAGAGCGTTCGAAAGTTTGGACCCCTTAATGTAATTTTTTTTTATTATTTTCGCAAACAATTATTTCGTGCAAAAATTTTTTTAATAATTATTTATTATTTTTTATTATTTTATTTAATAAAAGTTGAGAAAATTTGGATTTGTAGGATATACAAATTTTACATAATTTTAAAGAATGTAATTTTATATGACAAAATACAAAATTTGAATGAAATCGATAGAGTAGTTATGAGAAATCAAAAAAGTATGAAGCTGAACTATGAAAATCATTCACATAAAGAAAGTCATCTTACAATCTTACTTTTTTAAAATTCGATTTCTCTGGAATTATTCGTCGACCAATTTCGATCAAATTGTGAATTTCGGTATGCAAAATTAGATACTTTATAGTTATTAAACGTTTTGAAATATATATATATATATATATAAGTTCAAAATTGGCATAAAACAAAGGAAAATTATAGATAAATGCAAGGGGGGAATAATAGTGAAAAAAAAATAAATAACAAACAACTGATTAAAAAAAAGGATGAAATTTTTAAAAAAAAAAAACGGAAAATAAAAGATATAATCTTTTCATCAGCCCACACGATTATATCCGCAAAAAGGAGTGCTTTCTGATATTGTGTAAATATAGCCAAAGCAAAATATAGTAATACAATAGTGTGAGGAGCACTCAAAAAAAATTTTTACCAAAATTACAATAAATAAAATAGATTACAGTAAGTAAAAATAATATGTAAAAACAGAAAATAAAATGAAAAAACATTATAAAACAAATCTCTAAAGCGAGTAGTGAAATTAGATGTACTTACAAGAACGGGAAATTTTCCAAGAATGATTTAAAAATATTTTCGCAAGATTGCCAGATTACAAAATATGAAAACAAAAGCGCAAATTGAGTTTAACTAGAGGAATTTGAAGTGCCGTTCTTACTGCATTGCTAAAGTGATTCGTTATGCTGTGCATTGATCTGTTAGTTTCCAAGGATGGGCCCAAAATGGATGTGAGCTAGGTAATATTATTCTGGATAATTTAAAAAATTGACCATAAATAATTTTAGAAAATAAATAAATATTTATTCAAGAAAAAACATAAAATAGAAAAGAGAAACATAAGTTGCCTTTTTGCATAAAATGCCTGTAAACTGGATTTGCACATTTTAACACAGATTTGCCCGAAATGGATTTGAACATGGAAAAACTAATAAAGAAATTTTTAGTAAATAATTTTACCTACGGATTTACCCCAAATGGATTTGCACATGGAAAAATTATAAAAATTAACAAAGGAAATTCTTTAGTAAAGGAATTTTTTGGTAAATAATTTTGACCACTGATTTGCCCGAAATGGATTTGCACATGGAAAAATTATACAAATAAACAAAAATTTAGTAAACATATCCACAAAAATATACGATTAATTCAATGATTTTATATAAGATTTTATTACTTTAGTTGGGTATCCATTGTTTTTTTATCAAATTTTGAAAGAGTTTATCGATTTGCTTTTTGGATAAATAAATATTACTACATATTCGTTAAATTCTGTTCATTTCATTTAAAGTGGTATTTAAATAGATGGTGCTAGAAACATTAGAATTTTAAGTAATTAGTTTATTAATATTAAAATTAATTTGTTTTATCTTCATTTTGAACTTAAAGTATGTCACAAAGAAAAAATTTCACGTTCACGATTTTTTCTTGCTTTTTTTAGGGTGTAAAAAAGAAGAAAATTCATGTAGAAATAACGTGCCCCAACCCCCCAAAAAAAATTTCGTTTATATGTAGAATTACTCATATATTTATATATA